CTTCTAAAACAGACATAATTTTCAGCTGTTTTTTTTTTTTTCTTTTGTTCTTCATCATCCATTCCCTTCGCTTTCTCCCTTATCCCACTGGCCTTCAGTTTCACTACTAGTTACTACTGTTGTCATTTCTTCCTTTTCCTCCCCGCTCCTCCCCCACTCCACCCCCCGGTAAATCAGAAAACATTTTGTTGAAAAAACTCCCAGTAATTTTTGGTAATTTTTTTGTAATAACATTCTATATGAGACTAAAAATCCTATATGCTGTAAAGATTGTAACGTTACCTAAATTATTTATTGCTTTAAATTCTAATTAGAATAACAGTACAAAAAGAGTTTCAATTATATGCCCTACCAAGAAAAAAAAAAAAAAAAAAAGAAACTGATTGTAAAAGTACATCCACTTTTTTTTAAACAGCGCGAGACTGTTGTATTAAAAATGGAAGATTTATGAAACTGATATGCAACATACCTGCAGATGTTTTTTTGGAATTCTTGCTTCAGCTTTCGATTTGGTTATTTCAAATATTTGTTTTGCCCAATTCAGAACAATCTTTTCCAAATCTACCAGATCCTTCGTTGATGAAGTTCCGGCTGTGGTAGTTGTCATCCCCATTGATTCTGGCGTTTGTTTCAAGCTTGTTTCCAGGAAGTCACCACGATTTTTTGGAAATCCAACTATAAGCAAAAGTACTTCAGCAGACGGACGAATATCAAATGTTGATGAAATAGCAACATTTACAACTGTTTCAGATTTTTTAAAATTATTTTTCTAAAGTGATGAACTGTGCAGTTTCTGAGCCTCATGGCCGTTGTTTATTACCTAATTTGATAGTTAAAGTAACAAATTTGCTGTAAGACATTAGACTCGTTTTAAATTCTTAGGACCGGCAGTTACTGAAGTGATCAGACAAGCAAAAAAAAAAAAATTTCTGGCAAGACATAGATATTAAGCTCTCTTCTTTTAACAATAAAAACACATCACACAGCTATCAGTTAGGTCTAATTAACAAAACACACTTTTATGATGCCGCTTCAGAGGCCGACGTCGTTAAATCTAATGAACACAATTCAATTTCATTTAAAAAATCAATTTGTGACCATTTTTTATGGCTTTTAACCGTTTCTCTTGTTCTCATTTCACAGAAATACTGTTTACTGTTCCGATATAAAAAGACCATTAAAAAAAAAAATTAGGAACAAAGTTGCTATTAGTGTGTAAAAATCATTTATTACTAATGACTTAATGCGAGATGAATTTTTGATTGCATGGCAATTTTTCTAGATAAAAATAGAAAATTGTTTTCCTAGGAAAAAATTTTTAACTTTACATTTTTTTTGGCTAGATCAATAGTTCTGCTGTCAAATAACATCTCTTAACCACAAGAAGTCGATGAAGCCAACCAAAAAAAGATGGTTAAATTGCAAGGTTACGGTATAACTCTATCTGTTTTTAACATTTGTCACAGAACTTTAGCCTTAGTACTTATTAAGAGTTTGATAACTTTGAGTAGAAGAAATAGTAAAGATAAAAAAAGGTTGTAAAAAAAATTTTTTTTTTGACAAATATGCAACTATAAAAATATTTTTTTATAATCAATTTAATAAGCACTATTATTGACAGAGTAACAAAAATCATAAAAATTTACCAACAATACTCATTTTTCCCCTAATAGCTGTTTAAATTTTCGTTCCCTTTGAAATACCCGTACTAAAAACCAAGAACAAAAAAAAAATTGCCTATACATCTAGTGATCAAGT